AAAAAAAGGAGGAGGATTGGCAATAGATGTTAGCTCAGAGCCGGTCTTCCTCAGCAAAAAGAGGAGGATTAGCATGGATGTTAGCTCAGGACGGATCTTCCTCACAAAAAAAATAAATAAACAAACAAACAACCCAATGAACAATTAGGGAGGTATATGAACAACAATTCACAAAGGAAGAAATAAAAATGAATAAGCACACGAAAAGATGCTCAACTGCATCAATAGGGAAATGCAAATTAAAACAGTAAAACACTGTTGGTAGAAATTTAAGTTAGAACAGGCTTTATGGAGGGCGATTTGGTAATGTCAAAGTATTAAATGCATATACCCTTCCTTTAACCAGGAATTCCATTTCTAGAAATCTTTCCCAGAGAATTATATGCCCATGTACAAAAAGAGGAATTTAAAAGAATACTCACTCTAGAATGTTTGTAAGAGTAAAAACTGGAAACAACTAAATAACTGTCAAAGGGGAATAAGTGAATAACCTCTGGAATACAAAAAAAAAAATCAGGAAACCCCAAAGGAGGAGTGCAGAGGTCAGCCTGCACTAAACAGCTCTCCTGTGCTATCCGACAACCTACACAAAACTAAATCTAGCCCCAAAGAGCCATAGTAATTTGATATATTCAGTACTTTTAAAGAAGACTTCATGCAGAAAATTTAAGTCGAAATTAAGCTTTTCACGAAGTCTAGCCTAAATGGACTAAGAGAGTGAGCGCCAGCCCTGCACTGTCAAACACAGCAGCCACCAGCCACTTACGGCTCTTGAGCACCAGATACGGCCAGTCCAAACCAAGATGCGCTCCAGGAGTCAAGTACACACCAGATTTCAAGGAATTAGTACAATAGAACCAAATGTGAAATATCTCATTTTTTATTGATTACATGTTCAAATGACAAATTCTGTATATACTGGGTTAAACAAAATATATTCTTAAAATGATTTTCATGTTTCCTTTTACTTTTTAAATTTTCTACTTTTTAGTTTTTAATGTGGCTACTAGAAAAGGTAAAATTACATATGTGGCTTATATTATAATTAATTCAACTTCACTTCAGTCAACTCAT